AAATTTTAAAGTATCTATATTTTAGTAAATATTTGATATAATTGTTCCAGTAAATAATTGATAGAGATTAATTATAGGAACCAAATATTGGTTTCACGATTATTTTCAACTGAATATTACTCTTCTTAAAATCAACTCGCATTATTTCGAATAACAAATTTTTTTCTTCCTTTAATTCGTAGAACATTGTATAATTAAAATTATGACCAAGTATGGAAGCATTACAAACTACTATACCTACTATTACACTTATTAATTTTAATTAAATTGATGCAACACGAATGTTTCTCACTTAAGTAATAAATATTACAAAATACACCCGATTGTGAATTTTCTTATTAGAATTTATAAATAAATTTATAAATTTGCTGTAGTAACTATAATCTCGTTAATTATCAGTAGCAAATAAATTAATTGAGATATAGGCTACAACCTTACAATTACTTTAGCATTTCTCACGTAACTTTAAAACTTATTTGGAGTTTCAATGTTTTCAATATTTGTAATTTTGTTATTGATAGTCGGTTACATTTAAGGGAACGTCTTGCAGTTAGAGTTTTTTTTTTAATGAATGACTTAAAACTAAGATCACTTAGCAAATGCTTAAGCAATCGAAGCTGCTTTGTGAGCTCGGTGGGTGGTAAATTCTCCGTTAAGACATTGCGATTAGATGTTCAATTTGCGGCCACCGAGAATTCGCTAACAATGGTTCAAACCCCTAATAGAGATTGCTGGTAGATTACCATAGCATAGTATGCAAAGTACGAAGACTGTGCTGAGTCCGGGAAATGAAATGTCAAGACAGTCGGACGTCAGATCTTATGCGATCTGTATACAAATTAATTCATATTATTTATGGACGATGTATATATCAAAAATTTTATTCAGGAAAATAGTCGAACATTAGCAACAATATCCGGTCTCTATAGAAAAATACTACTTCTATGATGCATGGAAAATTTGTGAAAAATTAATGAATTAGACACATAAACTTTCATACTTATTTCGGAGAAATGCAATTTGACAAGAATGTATTTATGGAGTGTATATTCAATTCAATGTTTTCAACTTTTTCTTTGCAAAGGTATAGGTATAATTATGCAAGTGTTCGGTGCATGAAAAGCAATAAAGTTGAGTCTCCGATGGAGTTTTTAATAATGAAATAAAATTGAAATTAAATTGAGACAATTGATCGTATTTAAATATTTATGTATTATAGCAAGAATATAAATATTGGTGTATTTGGAGCAGTCCGTAAAATTAATTTCTGCAAGAAACATTTGAACAAAAACGTGATATTGATATAAAAAAAAATTATGGTAACATCACAATATTTTTTAATACTTCGAACGATGAGGATGACAATATGTTTCGATAAAAAAAGATGTCTAGAACGCTTGGGGAATTCAATCCCCCCTTTAATCTTTTCTCAAATAATTGACAAATTATCTCATTCTTTCCTTATGAAGAAAGAAACATATTCGGTCGTACATTCCAATTTTCTTCATTTGTGACAAGTAGACTGTGGATCTTAGCGCAAAGTAAAAATTGTGTTTTTTAATTACAAGATGCAGGACCTACGTAAACATTTATTTTTCTTCTTAGAAGTCATTAATTTCAGCACCTTTCCCTCTCCTTGTCACACCCAACATGTGCAATACACGTTATATTTAATTTATATGTAAAAAAATTCATATTATATTCATATTATAAACAATATATTTTAGCGAGTAGTTGCCACAAATTTGCATGTCCGCGGTTAAGGATCAAAGAGAATTTTGCAAGTACTATTTTACCATGGAATTCTGTTTTTCATTTCACGGAGTTAACTGATCCGTCAAACGAGCGGCTCAAATATACAATTATAAACAACAGAAGCTTAATTTGTACAGTCGAGTACATCTGGCAACAGGGTCAGTGCCACATCTTATGCTCAGCAATTTATATTCCGATCTCTCTGTACACGCACGGGAGAAAAATGCAAGTAAAAAGATAATTTCCCCGGGAAATCTCGTAATGGGGCCAGTTGGAGCATCTCGGTTTTACGCATTCCCTTTCATTCGTGGCATCGAAAGAAACGGAATCTCCGTGACCCGAAACGCTTCCGCATACGAGATTAAGGAAAACACATTTTCCCGACGGAGTGTTCGAGCTTAGGATTCCCTCTGGCTCTCTGACTCTCTCTCTCTCTCTCTCTCTCCCTCTCTCCCTCCCTTTCTCTTCTCTTCTCCCTCCTTTTGATCTCCGAGACGATGGGGAGGGTAAAGGGTATGAAAATAGAATGTTATTGCCCGTTTGGACGTAGCGGCGCAGTCGATATTCTCGTTTAAAGCGGCCACTTGTCCCGACAAGAAAGGGAAGAAAATGGAGCAACGCGTAGAGAGAGAAGGGCTTTTATTGACAACGAATATCGGTTATCGAGACGTTGTTCAGAGGAACGTTTGCCTTTGCTTTCAGCGCCGCGGATCTACGGCGACCTGGTGCCTATCCACCTAATCAGTACGAGTACCAACAAGATCCGCCAGAAGATCGTCGATACCCACAATTACTTTCGCACAATTGTCGAACCGCCTGCCGCCAACATGCTTGAGATGGTATGTGTTTAATGATCCCTCTTGTAGCCAGATCTGGGCACATTTAATAATAATATTTATTATTTAAAATAGCATTTCAAACAATGTTGTTGTTAGCCCTGGTTACTGTGTCTTTACGATAATTCCACTTATGCAGGGCGTTCCACGTAATTTTCGTCGCGATGTTTCAAGCACTTCCGACCGTCTGACAAAAAAATGTTCCTAACGAAAGTTAATCTGCAATAGATTGCAATATATAACGTTTGAGAGAAAACGTTTTATTTCAAAAAATCGAGGTCATGTTCATTTTTTTTAAATTGCATGGTATATTTTCTATTTTCTATTATTGGAGCTGAGTGTCAACACGAATTCAACGACCTATTATGGTATGACCTTCGGATGACCTTGACGTGAAAAGAAAATGATAACAATTCTTAATAACGAATATAATTTTTCATTGAATAAAATTCTATTCGAATATCATTTCGAATGATATTCGACTAGTGTTTCGAATAAAATATGCCCAACCCTGCTGGATCGGTCATCCTACGATTCAAAAATCGTGTCACCATACGACCGACATGACAAGCAAATTGTTCAAACAAATTCTACACAGTGCGGATAAGTTTTGACTGATTCTCGCAGAGATTCAATGTCCCCGAGAAATCGTATTCTGGGGTCGAGGTTCGTCGATCCATGTTACGATCGCGAAAAAATCGAACATGACCTTCCGTGTTGAGAAAATAGTCCTCCGATCGGTTCGCGTGCCGTGAATGTGTCACGGGTTCATAACCCTGAAAGGTGGATGATGCGGGATCGTTCGTGGACCGCGCCGGTTCAACCTTTACTCGAACCTTTTTCACTCGCTTTGAAGTCCCATGGACTTTACTGGATTCCTCAACGAAATCCCGGGACGCAGATACCGTCGGTAATTTTCGAGCACTCCTCCAGATGGAATCGTCTCCGTCGGATCCAGACTCTTTGGTCTTGGACTTACTTTCTATGGAAATTACGTTCGACTGCATTTAACGTGATCGGTTTTCACGGGAGATTTTTATTCCGTCGAATGTACCGCGGCGCGAGGTATTTTTTCGACGGGATGGAATTGTTGGTGAATGATTAACTAAACGATCGTGCTTAGTTTAGATAAGCAGACGTGCTGCGGTAAGTGATTATTAAACTACAGATTTTATACCTTTATGGCAGAAACGAGGAGCGGAAATATAAAATTCTGAAAACGTCGGAAGAATTTATTTATTTGGGAGTTGATCGAAAATTGAATTGATAGTTCACTTAAAATGTTATCATGTTTTTGGTGCAGAATGTGTTGTTATGATTTTAACAACATATTACGATTTTGAAGGTTTTAAAATATTAGAAACTAAGATTAAAATTTTTTTTTACTGTTAACGTACTTGATTGCATCTTGAATTTTCATACTTAAAATAAATTTCTTTAATGCTGGACTTAACACTAGGAAATAACAAAAATTTGTTTGATCGTGTAATAATAGTGGATTTATTATTACGTATATATCATATGTGTATGTTAGACAATTTGTTTTTGAACACATATATTGTAATATTTGTCGTTAAATTAAAGCTACGACAGTAACAGTAGCAGGTTTATGAGACTTTATATTTTAATTTTTTTTTAACTTTATTATTTTGTTCTAGCGTTTCTCTCTATTTTTTGTTGTGTGGAGTTGATCGATTTGACTTATTTGATCATTGTTGGTAATTTTGGTAAATTTTGATAA